AGCTCACACTTGATGTGACTACCTAGAGGTTCGTATTATTAATTAACTGAAAAGATTTACCTAGATCTCACTTAAGCTTTTACTCAATTGATTAAGTAATACATATTGATAAATGCTACTTAACACAAAAACATAACTTTATTAAGTTTGAACTTTTTGAAACATATTATTTTGTTTAATAAATAAACAAAACTGTATATTAAATCTTAACTGGTAATAGATTATTTTATAATAAAATAGATTATTTTTAAGAAAAAGCTTAGATAAAATAGTTAGCTCTCAAAGCCTAAAAGTATTCCAGATATCTTAAGACAGCTAAAGTAAGAGCATTCATATTCCTATACAATCGATTGGAACGATTGCAATCGTGAGTTAAATCAGTTTTATTCATAGATTGAACTTCAAAATCGTAGTTTTTGTAACGGCAATGTTAAATCGTTATTTTCCCAACAGAAATTTTAAATCATAATGATGAGTGGGCAGCACTGCGGCAGAGTAGCGGTGGAAAATATCGATGTGCCAAACATCGATATCACCGATGTTTTCAACAAATCGATGACATTGCTGTGCATCGATGTTCCACCACCTCTACCGCTTTTGTTCGTCATTACGTTGATTTCTTCGTTCGTTTCGTGTTTTATTTTAAAATGGCCGATACAAAGGGCGTGAGTAGCCGCTGCGTATTTGTCCAAGTGTCGATTGGAGGTCCGGATGAATCCGGCGGAGAGTGGGCGTGCCACCAGTGTATATAGATTGCATTCCGTCGATGCCGACGAAGCCGATTCCGGCGCCGCTGTTGATTTGTTTGCCGCTCCTCCACTGGTCCGTCCGTTTATCGGCCGCTCCTCCTCCCCCACTCATTCCTCCGTGCTCGTTGTCCCCTCGCCATTCGTTCACTCGGCTGGACTTGGATGTGGAAATGGGAATGGAAATCAAGTGATTCACAACATGCCGGCGGCGTCAACATTCTTCCTTTGTTTCCGGGACCTCCTCGCTCTCCCTCACTCTCCCTCGCTCTCCCTCTCTCTCTCTCTGTCTCGGTCGCCTGTGACCCACATAACATCATACATTGATCCGAAGATATGGCAGGAGAAATGGGTGCCAATTGTTTTGGAGACCCAAGAGAAATTTCCACCGCGCGTGATGGGCATGCAAATCAAGTCAAACAATCGCTTTCTAAGACCCGAAACTCTAACTACCAAACTAGCCCTACATAACATTGAAAACCCTAAAAAGATAATGCCGAAGATCTGCTTATAGCCCGATGAACAAAAAAGTTAAAATATAATTATTTGTGGAATTCTTAAAACTAGGTTTCAACACTTATTTCTTAAAACAAAAAATTTCGTAAAAAAAAGTATTTATATGCTTAGTTTTTGTATTTAAAACATAAACTCCTCAAGTCGAAAGCTTGTTGTCTCTTTCGTGGGTTTTATAGAGTTTCTCTAATTTTACTAAGATCTGACGTTTTTTTTAAAGTTTTGTATAGTATAAGAAACTCATTTAATCACTTTTTCTGTTGCATTGGAACTGTTAGTCATAGATCATATCGATATGCATTAATCTTCAAAGACCACCTGGTAGAGCAGACCCAAATAGAAATAACAATTAAAATGTTTTTCTCTTTAGTCTAAAGATACTCAAAAATAATTGTAAATGAATCATGGTGCTGATGTTGAATACTTAAGTATCAAGAGAGTTGTTTTACTAATTTACACATAGTTTTTGTTATTAGTATTATTATTGTTCTTTTTTTTTCTTACAGTTTTCCAGCATCGAGACGCCTGGCTACGTTGGCTTCGCCAACTTGCCCAACCAGGTGCATCGCAAGTCCGTAAAGAAGGGCTTCGAGTTCACCCTAATGGTGGTGGGCGAATCCGGGCTGGGCAAGTCGACGCTGGTCAACAGCCTCTTCCTCACGGATCTCTATCCCGAGCGCATCATTCCGGATGCCATAGGTGGGCACGGCCATTGTCCAAGTCTCTATTTGTATTATTTATGTGAATGAACCTTTACTTTGTACAGAGAAACAAAAGCAGACGGTTAAGCTCGAGGCATCGACGGTGGAAATCGAAGAACGGGGCGTCAAGCTGCGACTGACGGTGGTGGACACACCCGGATTTGGCGATGCCATCGACAACTCCAACAGCTTTGGCGCCATACTCGAGTACATCGATGAGCAATACGAGCGCTTCCTGCGCGACGAAAGTGGCCTCAACAGACGCAACATTGTGGACAATCGTATTCACTGTTGTTTCTACTTTATATCGCCCTTTGGCCATGGGTGAGTACGCCTTCTTTTGACCTTTAAAAAGGTGCATTTCTCAAATTTGAATGCAAGAATTTTGCCATTTTAGAGAGCATACATTTATTTTTATAATTACTCTACTTGAACTGCAGCCTAAAACCTCTCGACGTGGAGTTCATGAAAAAGTTGCACTCCAAGGTTAATATAGTGCCCGTGATCGCCAAGGCCGATTGCCTCACAAAGAAGGAGATCCTGCGCCTAAAGTGCCGCATCATGCAGGAGATCGAGAGCCACGGCATCAAGATCTATCCATTGCCAGACTGTGATTCCGATGAGGATGAGGACTACAAGGAGCAGGTGAAGCAACTGAAGGAAGCTGTGCCTTTCGCCGTCTGCGGCGCCAACACTCTGCTCGAGGTCAAGGGCAAGAAGGTGCGCGGTCGTCTCTATCCATGGGGTGTGGTCGAGGTGGAGAATCCCGATCACTGCGACTTCATCAAGCTGCGCACCATGCTGATGTAAGTGGTTCGAAGGGAGAAATTCTCTTTGGGAAAGATTTTTCCGATTTAATTACAATTGTTAACTGATTGCTATCCTTGTGGCCAACAGAACCCACATGCAGGACCTGCAGGAGGTGACGCAGGAGGTGCACTATGAGAACTACCGCTCCGACCGCCTGGCCAAGGGCATCAAGGGCAAGGAGAACGGCGTGAAACCGGAGCGGGACAGCAACTCGCAGGTGGTGGCCAACAGCGTGCTGGGCGAGAAGGACCGCATACTGCAGGAGAAGGAGGCCGAGCTGCGTCGCATGCAGGAGATGCTCGCCCAGATGCAGGCACGCATGCAGGCCCAGCAATGAAGAGGCGGGTATATTTTTTGGATATACGCGCTGAGCGGAGGCGGCAATCTATAGTTATACACTCAAGTCGTATATATACATATACACAACATATATTTTGTACGCAGTTTTTCGTTGCGATCGCGCTTTAATTCTACTCTCAATTGTGAAACGACGGGCGCTAAGTATTCTGTATTAATTTCGCATTCTCCATATATACACATATATTCGTAGGATTTAGGTATACACAACATATAAATTTATACACATAAACAACATACACCTGTCGCGTATGCAAAACGTCTGCAATGCAATTGCCCCATCAAAAACAAAACAAAAAAAACAAAAACCAACCATCAGCGAACTCACTTCATATCACTCCTATCAAGCGAAACACACGAAAACAACTATATTCCTACTATGTATTTAGACACGATTAACAATGGATTATTATTGTACTCTGCATTTAGGCTAAGCGAAACCAATCCGATTTATATTGTATGTTGATTCATTTTTGTCTGTTTACCTTCTGTGTAGTCTCAAAGCGAGCAATTTGTTTAGGTTATACTATATGTGCGTAGCAGCCTTTTATTCCGATTTAACTCGACTACCATTGGGCGTTATCCCCCAGTGCCGCCCGATTCCTAAGCACGATCTGATTCAAAAAGCAGTGAACCCTTCCTAGGCGGTCCCAGGATCCCATGTTTAGTTGTAGAAACTCGGTTTCAAAGGCTGCTCGCTAAAAAGCGCTATCCTCGAATGGATGAAACAAAAACCAAAATGTGAAATCTCTTTTATTATGTATATGAAGACTTTTTTAACCCAATATATTTCTCTATGAATACATATATATGTATGCTTTTTATACAATTTGTAAACCAGCCCGTCTCATGCATTTCTTTTCATGGTTGGGCAAATGGGTTTCGAATTAAAGTCAAGTTTTTGGGGGTATAATTTCCAGAAATTCCTTGTTGGTTGGTATCGAAATGGGATTAAAAAATAATTCTTCATGTCAATAAAACATTTTTTTTTTACTAATTACATTGCTACTTTTTAATTTTAGAATAAATAAAATAGCAATTATATACATTATTCATTTTAAATGGTTTTATAAGTTACTAAAATATAATTATTTGTGAATACAATTTTTGCTTATGAATTCATTTTTTATTTGTTTTTCCTATTTTAAACTGGGTCCTCTTTGTCATTGCTGCAATTTGTACTGAAGATACTGAAGATCCAAAAAAAAATTTCATCCTAAAATAAAATATTGACATCTAAGGGCGTGGCATTCTGTCTTCGGCGCCTCTTCGAAAAAAAAGTTGAGTTTGTGGTAAACAACCATATTGCAACATAGGGTTCTTTGAAAAATATCAATCATATTGATATTATTTATTATTTACTATAATTCCCTTGGTAATTACGAAGTCTGTATAAACTTCCGAAAAGCCCCTGACCTCCTATAATTTTAAAACTTTCAGCATACGTGTATTTTAGGGCCCGGATTACAAATAATTTGGTCAAAGTTGGCAACAAAAAGAATTTCTTGAAAAAATAATAAAATACCCCTAATACCCCTAATATCTGCTAAATTATGAACAATATCACATATAAAATTTGAACAGAGTAGTAGTAGTATTATAATGAAATAAATAATGATTTTTACCGCTTTAATTCCAAGAAAATTCGAAATCAGGGCCCCAAAATATATGGATTCTGAAAATGTTATACCCGATCGGATGTCGGGACTTTTTGGAAGTACAACCATGATTTTTTGCTTATTTACAATTTACAGGTCTATTTCAATTACAAAAAAATAGATCTTAAATTCGAAGTTCTTGTATCTGGAAATATGAAAATAATTAATTTAAGCAATTTCTTATACCAAACAAATTTATTAACAAATTTATTTTGATGTTTTTTTTTTTCTTGGTATTTTGCCATCGCACGGTCACACCGCGCACATGGTGTGCGGTAACAAATTTTTGTAGCTTTGCCGGTAAAAAAAATGTAAATTCAGCCATGATCCGAACGATTTCCATCCGCTGGCTGCTGCAACGTGCCGGGGGTAATCCACACTCCGCCTGGCTGGTGGCCAGATCCAGATCGGATTCCCCCGCCCGCAGCCTGAGCACCACGATTGGGGTCAAGGCCGAAGCCGCCAAAACGGAGGAGCCCGTGACCAAAGTGGTGGAACCTTCGCAGGCCGAACTGCTGCGTGAATTCAGTTGCATGCCGGTGCAGCGCATCCGGAACTTCAGCATCATTGCGCACGTGGATCATGGCAAAAGCACACTGGCAGACAGACTGCTGGAGCTCACGGGTGCCATTGCCCGGAATGCTGGGCAGCACCAGGTGCTGGACAGCCTCCAAGTGGAGCGGGAACGCGGCATAACGGTCAAGGCTCAGACCGCCTCGATATTCCATCGTCACAAGGGGCAGCTGTATCTCCTCAACCTGATCGACACGCCCGGTCACGTTGATTTCTCCAATGAGGTCGGTCTTAAATCACAAGTCACCACAAATCACCTTCACACGCTAATCCTCTAAGGTCGATTTCTCAGGTCTCCCGCTCGCTGGCTGCTTGCGATGGCGTTGTCCTTCTGGTCGACGCCTGTCACGGTGTCCAGGCCCAAACCGTGGCCAATTACCACCTGGCCAAGCAGCGTCAGCTGGCCGTGGTCCCGGTGCTCAATAAGATCGACATCAAGCACGCCAATCCAGATCAAGTTTGCCAGGATATGAAACTGCTCTTTGGCATTGATCCCAACCAGGTGCTGCGCGTGTCCGCCAAATTGGGCACTGGGGTAGCCGAGGTGCTGGAACGTGTGATTGAAACGATACCGCCGCCACAGGTTCAGCGGGAAAGCGACTTTCGTGCCCTAATCTTCGACAGCTGGTTCGACAAGTACCGCGGGGCGTTAAACCTAATTTATGTGCTGAATGGCAAGCTGGAGCAGAACCAGGACATCCAGTCGCTGGCCACCAAGAAGGTGTACCCCGTGAAGAGCATCTCTGTGTTGAGACCAGCAGAGTGTCCAGTGCCCGGCTTATCCGCTGGCCAAGTGGGTTTGATTGCCTGCAACATGCGGAACAGCAAGGAGTCCATCGTGGGCGACACCATACACCTGAAGAATCAAGCGGCCAGCGCCGCCGGAAGCTATAGTCCGCAACAGCCGATTGTTTTCGCTGGAGTTTTTCCAGCCGATCAGTCCAAACACGTGGCCCTGCGCAGTGCCATCGACAAGATGATCCTCAATGATTCGGCCGTGACTGTGAAAGTCGACTCCAGTCCGGCTTTGGGTCAAGGATGGCGCTTAGGCTTTCTGGGTCTGCTGCACATGGAGGTCTTTTGTCAGCGTCTGGAGCAGGAGCATGGCGCCGAACCCATTATCACAGCGCCATCGGTCACATATCGTGTGGTTTTGAGCAATCCAAAGATGATCCGGCAGCAGGGACGCGATACCATGGATATATCGAATGCTGCTCTCTTTCCGGAACCGCATTGCATTAAGGAGTACTATGAACCCTTGGTTTTGGGTACAATAATAACGCCCACGGACTATGTGGGCCAGGTGATCGGACTGTGTGTGGAGCGACGGGGATTGCAGCAGAGCTCAGTGAATATAGACGAAACGCGTGTACTGATGAAATACGTGCTGCCGCTGAGCGAGATCATCCTTGACTTCCACGATCGGCTCAAGTCGATGAGTTCGGGTTATGCTAGTTTCAGCTACGAGGATCACGGTTATCATCTGTCCCATTTGGTGCGTTTGGATATTCATCTCAATGGCAAGCCCGTGGAGGAGTTGTGTCGCATTGTCCATGTCTCCAAGGCCACGAGTGTGGCCCGCCAGATGGTTCTCAAGTTGCGCGACCTCATACCGAAGCAGATGGTGCAGATCGCTATCCAGGCGTGTATAGGTAGCAAAGTGCTCGCACGGGAGACCATCAAGGCGTATCGCAAAGATGTGACGGCCAAGCTCTACGGCGGCGATGTCACCCGGCGGATGAAGTTGCTCAAGCAGCAGGCCGAGGGCAAGAAGAAGATGCGCATGTTTGCCAACATACGCGTGCCGCACGAGACCTTTATTAATGTGCTCAAGCGGTAGGAGAATCCCAGCCAGAATTTCCCATTGCAAAACTGTTCGTTGCCAATTTAGGTAAGTGATTGTTCTTTTTTCAATACATAATTATTTATAATTGTTTATATTTATTTAACATTTAAAAAAAACCCTTTTATTGAATTTAAAGTTTTAAAAATGCTGGCATTAATATAAACAAAATGTTTACCTTGAAACTTTCTCCATTACGTTTTAAGCTTTGTTAGGAACTAACTTATTTATATAGTCATCTATTACGTAGAAATGAATCAATTTGACATGTTGGAATTTGTGTTGCTCACTTAAAAGTAAATGTTTGCTTATAGCCTATTTGTATATTTATTGTATCGGCTAACAAATATCTCAGAAATGTTCTGCCTCTTATCGTTGTGGGCTTTTCACTTGCCCCCATTGTGCTCTCCATCTCCAGTTTCCGCGGTTATTGCGATATGTCTTATCATTGTTTGGGCTCTGTACTGAAAATAGAACAATTCCGTCTTATAATTATGCGGTCGTGGAGTTGGGCGTGGCCGTGCAACGCCCCATTCTCAAAGTTCATTAACATCAGAACTAAACTAAAACTATCACATAACAAAACCGGTGGACGGAACTTTCCATTTTTAGTGCACTTTGTGGGGGGAATGTGTGTTTTTGTAAATGCAGTCATTTAGTTTTCGATTAGTTTATTTTTCAAGAATATTAAAAAAAAAAAGGATTTTATCATTAATACAATCAGCTTACATATGTCTCAGATCTAACTTTACATTCTTTACTTCTGCAAAAAAAAAAAACACATTTAAAAAAGCGAACTTTCCCTGTTTAAAAATTTAATAATAAAATTATTGTCTTTTTCGTATTGATATCTAAAGCATTATTATCGTGTTGTTTTTTGTTTATTTATTTTTGTTTTTCCATTTACATGGACCTTACAAATTTTCACTTACAGTGATGTATCTTTGTTTTCACAAAAAAAAGAGTATTTAGGATTCAATTTTATAAATTTTTTAGGGGGTTCTCTACTTCACTTATTTTTGGCCTTGACAGTATAGTTGTTGTTAGTAGGTCGCGCACAGAAGGAAAGCCACAAGGAAGAAGAAGAAACAGAGACAGGCAGACATACCCAAAAATCGAATTTCCCTGACCCTGAAAACTGGCATCAAGCAACACATGCAATCGTACACAAATACGATAGAGACAAGGAGAGAGAGAGCTAGATATAGTGCATAACGGCATCCCACCGCCCCAAATTCAAACGTAAATACAGTAAACGCCCTGAAGAGTGAGCCCTCTGTTGAATCCTTCAGATACAGATATAGCTTTAGGCCCTAGCTAAATACCACGTTTGAATTACGAAAAACAAATTTACAAAATAACTATAAATTTCAAGCAAGATATCTTATTATCTATATTAAACTTAAATTGGCTAAAAATTAAAAAAAAAGAGCTCAGTGTACTTATAAATTGTTCACAATAGGCAAATACTTGTTTTTTTTTAGCTAATTAATAATTACATTTTTAAGATAACATAAGATCAAGATTTCACAGAAATACACAAAATTGTCTTTGTAAATATTTTTTAGAAAAGCTATTTGAACACACTTGTCTCAAATTTGTCTCCATAATTGTTTTGGATTAACCCATTGAACAAACAAGTATTTTAGCTCCCTTTCAAACATAAGAGGGTCTGTATTGTTTTGAAACCTTTCATATACGGGAAGAACAGAATAGTGAACCATACCGAAAGTTCACTGTTTATTGGAGACTGTGTGTGTGAGATAGTCAGTTTGTTGGCTTGCTTGTGTCGCTCTCTTAACCGAAAAGAGAGAGGAGAGGAGAGTGAACCGAAGTGAACCTCCAAACCTGAACCGTTGTGTGGTGGGTGGCAAATTGCGGGGGGTGGCGGTGGATGGGTTGTTGTTCTGCCATTCATCCCCCTGCGCATGTGTGTGTGTGACCTTGAAAAACAATAACATTGTTGTTGCCCCTGGCTTGGGCAAAAATGCAAATTGCAAACAAACCGAATCGGCAACCGTTCGAGCAAAACTGTTAAATGTGGTTATGCAATAAAAAAGCACGGCAATCGGTTTGGGGGGTGGATGTACATACAAATATAGTGTATATAGTATCCCCATACACGCACACACCAATATTGCAATTTGTCGATCAACTTGTTGCAAAAAAAGGGAAAAGGGGAGACGCAATTGGAGTGTAGGTATTTCTTATTCTTATTTGTGTAGTCTAATCATTTTCTGAGACCTATCTTACTTCTTCATTTTTGTTTTATGTTTATTTTATGTGACTTAGATTTGTCCAATAATCCTTTCCATTTATTTTTGTTTCTGCATTTCAAAAAACTGTAAACATTAATATTTGCTTCGCCGTTTTTATTCTTCTATGAATTTCGAATTTTTTTTTTAATACTCCTGTAAATTTTTACAATCATTTTATTCATTTTATAAAAAGTTTTTAATTTTTGTAAATTCCCCTTAAAAAAGTTTCACTATGTACGATTTTCCCAGTAACAACAACAACAACAAATGAAAAACAGCTGAGCGAGCGCAGAAAGTGCAACAAAGACAACTGCACTCCCTCTCTCCCACTCGGCAAATGGTTACTTTGTTATTGTTTTTGGAGACAGACGTGTGAGCGTGAATGTGGATGTGGATGCGTTGCGGATGTGGGGAGTCACATACACTTGCAAATACAGAGGGGCGCCTGCAGAAAGAAAAAGTAAAATAAAATATTTCGCTGTAGCAGTGTTGTTGCTGCGCGCAATAAAGCGTCAGCAGAGACGAGAGGCACCCTGGGCCATAGTGGTATTTAATTTCAAACTTAAATCAAAACAATGTGCTTTTTAACTAAAGTTGCCAATTTTTTTTTATGTACAGAAATAGTAAAATATTTTTTAATTTTATTGTTTATTGTTCGCATTATCAATAGTACACTGTTTCAATCATGGCGGTTTTAAGGTTTTTTTTTTTTCATACAATATTATGATTTATGAATAAAAGGTGTGCACAAAAGCTATTAAAAGAAATTTTAAAACCCCTTTTTTAAATTAACATCTATTGCATCCAAATTTCCAAACGCAAAAGAAATCAGATCGTTTTTACAAACGTTTGGGCCCATAGTGCGAGGCGACGTCTCTACATAGTCGCCTTTTGCTGCCGACGTCGCTGCTTCTGGCCGCAGCACAAAAACACAAAAACAGAAAACACAGTCAGTTTTCATTCTCATTTGACATCATCAACATTGAAATTTAATTAAACGAGAGCAGAGTCTTCGATTCGAGGCAATAATTTCATTCAAGTAATACGCGATTTGAACAAAGCTTTATTTATGCTAAGGCAATAAAATGCAGTTTTTATTTAAGATTTTTGTTTTGTGCGAAAAAATCTAAAAAATAAGCGACGCGCACAAAATAACAAACGTCATCAGCTGTTCTATGTTTGTGTGTTTGCGCTCAATAAGCGGGAGAACTTTGTGTGCTTGTGTGTGCATGTTGTTTTATTTTGTGGCTTATTTACTTATTTAAATTGGAATAAAATGATTGCATTTCGAAGGCAGTTGAAAACCTAACCTAGAAAACTAGAACTAAACGTTTGAAGGTTATGAACAGACCCACCACCTCCCCTTTTACCCACCGCCCCCTTTTAAAACTTGGCCTTGACCGTGTGCATCTGTGTGTGTTAGAGCAAAAGAGATAGAGTGAGACGACCAACGGTAACCAACAGCTGACAGCTGCACTTTACCTTTTAGGTCAGGTGGCAACGCTGGCAAAGTGATCCTCTTCCCCTCTTTTTCCTTTCCTTAAAAAACAACACAATAACGGCAGTGCGTTGCTCGCACAAACAAATAAGTTGAAAACAAAAGCAACAAGAAAAGCAACAACAACAACAACGAGCTTAATCAAGTTCAAAGCGAACTGTGCGAAAAAGAGAGAAGGCAACGCACTCGCACTCTCTTTTCTAGCACTCTCCCCTTCGCACACACACACTAGCTTACGCTCAGCTGTACACGTAGCCTGTTTTCGTTTTTTTGTTTTTTTGTCTTTATTTTTTCCATTTCTTTATTTCTATATTTGTGTGTTTTGTTTGTCACATAATTGTGCAATAGCAGTACGAATAAAACACGAAATTATCAATATTGAAGACAAAACTTTTATTTAACGTTGTACGTATTGGTACAAAAATTAAAAAAAATAACAAAAACAAAGAAGCATGGTAGTGATAAAAGATATTGTTGCTACTTAATATAAACCTTACAAAATATTCAAAATATTATACATAGAAATTGATGGCACTCACTAAATGTACTTTCTGTATAGTTGTTATTGTTAAAGTTAGCGAAGAGTGTTGTAAAACATTGGAAATAAAAAATGAAGTGTATCTTTTCTGAGTGAGTTTGCCTTTGTTGTTATTTTGTTTATTTATTTTGCAAATATATGTTATGCTTATGTATTCACTGACCGTTTTTCAGATGTATGTGTAGGATTTTGATTTTAATTTCATAATAATAAAGAAAGCCTTGTTTGTGTGTGTGCTTTTTATTTTTGTTTAAGGAAAGGAAGGAAAGAGATGGAAGGTGGGAAAGGCGTCACAACAAGCACACACACACACGCACAGCTGATCTCTTTCTTTCTCTGTCTCTCTGGAAATTTGTAAACAACTCAATATCTCAAAAAGCAGAGCTGCCAATTAGTTTTTTTTCCAGCCACATTGGCATCGCCGTTTTCTTGCATTTGTGAAATTCATCAACTAAAAAGTACACAACTTTTTCCTTACTTCTAGCGTAATATGTTCGAGGATCAGGACTAGACAAAAAAGGTGAAAAATAAAAACAACGAACATGATCAACGGCTTCAGCGTTGGCGGGGGTCAACAGGTGACGCCAGCAGGTGCTGCAATAAAATTGCACTTTGCCAACAGCAACAACAACAAAAACACTAGCAACATCAGCAGCAGCAGCAGTAGCAATAATAACAACAACTACAGTGGCCTTAAAACAGCGGAGCAAAAAATGAGCAACAACAACAAAAGCAACAACAACAACAACACTGGCGAAGTGCTGAAAATATATGAGAGAATGCGGAACACAAGTGGAGCAAGTGGAGCAGCAACAAGTGGCAGCCAAGGATCAGCCAGCTTTGTGGAACTTTCTACTGCATCAGGAGCTGATGCAGGGTCCGAAACTCTTCGGGCAGTTGGTTTTATCCAAGGATCAACCATTTTCAGTAAATCTGCATCCATCAGAGCACTTTCTCCCAAACTGGGAGGAGGAGGAGGAGCAGCGGCAAGGCCATCTGGAGTTATCCAAGAATCAGGCGTTTCTACGACTTCCAGAGGCATTTCTGTCGGATCAGGAGCTATCCTAGAATCAGTTGCACCAATGGCCATTGGGATTAGTCAAGAATCAGGCAGTTTTATGAACTACCAAACAGTAGCACCCAGATCAGCAATCAGTTATTCAAGAGCAGTTTGCAAAGCTGTACCATTAATGGGTGTACGCAAACGATCGGGAACTTCAACGCTAGGGACTGGAACAGGTGCTCCAAGTTGTATTGCGGCGGCAAAGGGAGTTTCCCCAATTGGAGCAAGCAGTCTTCGCTGGCTGTCCATGCCTGTGAGCAACGAGAAGTCGTCAAATGCAGGAGGAGCTGAAACTAAAGTCTTAGATGGAGCAACAGAAAACACTGGATCACCGGTAGAAGCTGCCAAAAGTGCCTTAGCTAACGCTCAGCCGCAGCGCACGGAGGACCAAGAAAATGCCTTTCGACGCATCGAGGATGTGCACAACTATGCCAAGCTGCAGGACTACAGCAGCGACACCGACGACGAGGAAGACGACGATGAGGAGGAAGAGCTCGACGAAGAGGAGGAAGATGAGGAGGTGATCCAGGTGCCGTTGCCAGTGCAACAAGAGATCACACGCATTCGTCGCGACGCCGCCGAAGAGCATGTGGACGTCGATGTGGTCACTGTGCCGCAGCCGGAGCAGGATCACGATCACGATCGCCATCAGGTGCAACGGCAGCAGCAGCAGCAGCAGCAGCAGGATCAGCCATTATCAGCGGATAACATACGGCCAGAGCACCATGCTCGACGCCCCATGAATGCGTTCCTAATCTTCTGCAAGCGACACCGCGGCATTGTCAAAGAGCGCTACAAGACGCTGGAGAACCGGTGTGTTTTTGATTGCTGCTTATTCCAATGAGGTCCCAGAAAACTGACTTTTGTTGTTTTATCTCGATTTTAGTGCCATTACCAAGATACTGGGCGACTGGTGGGCTGCACTTGACGAGCAGGAGAAGCATTGCTTTACGGATCTGGCGCAGCAGGTGGGGCATTTTAAACGTTAAACTTAAAACCTTAACTAAGGTTCCACATTTGCTTTACACACCACCATTTTTGGGGTCTCCATAGAGGTTTCTAAGCGAATTTATCTCGTTTTGCAGAACAAGGACGCCTTTTTCAATGCCAATCCCAACTTTAAGTGGTACAAACTGCCGGCTCCGCCGCTGCGCACGCTGGCCACACGTCCCAGCAATACGGCTGCTGGTTTGTTCATCCCCAGCGAGGATCAGCAGCAACAGCAACAGCAGCAGCAGCAGTTGCCAACTCCATTGCAACTGCAGTGGGCAGAGAGAGGCGAGATGCCGCGGGCTCTGCTGCGAGGCAACTACTTTAAGCTGGCGGACGAAACGCAGATGGGCGATCTGAGCTCGCTGCTGCAAGTCCATGTACAGGAGAAGGACTACGCCCTGCAGCAGGTGCTCAGCGAGACCAGCCAGTTTCTATCTGCCCACATGCCCGGTGGCAATCCGAATGGCAGTGGCAGTAAGCGCTCCTTGCCGGACAGCAATTCTAGCAACTCCAGCGAGGAGGAGGCGGCCAACGGTGGATCACCCAGCAAGAAGGCGAAATCGTCGCGCTCCTGCAAGGGCAAGATCTACCAGGAGCTGGTCAACTCCGGCCAACTGGCGGCTATAGCTAAGAAGAGCAAGGCTCGTTCATCACCACCGGCCGGAAATATGGGTGGAAACTTCGTGGACATTCCCTTGGATGCGGGACCCAACACGCCGCCCGTTTCACCACCGGAACGCCATGGCAGCAGCCCCGATGCCATGCAAAAGCATGTGAGGACCGTTTCCGAGTCGAGCAGCAGTGGTTTCTTTGATCTCGAGGAGAAGATCAAGGAGCTGCCGGCCCTCAGCTTGGATGCTTACCTGCAGCGTAAGCGTAGCACCAAAAAGAAGAAGAAGTTTAGCGGCAGCAAGAAACAGAGGAATTCAAGCAGCGCCAGTGGCGGTTCAGTGGCTTCCACTGCCGGAGCAGTAGCTGCTACAGACAAAGGAACACCCACTGCAGCCAGCGAACACTTGGTAAGGATTAAACAGCAGCAGCACCAGCAGCATCAACAGCAGCATCAGCATCAGCAGCATCAGCAGCAACTGCAGGTCGTAGGCAGCCAGCGACGCAAGGCGCGAAAGGAGAGTATTACGCGGCGCGATGTTAGCGCAATCGAGCAGGAAGTGGCCTCCATTCTGCCGCTGACCATCAACGGTAGCTACTACTTCAATCAGAGTGGTGCACCCAAAGCGATGAACGCGTCTGTCACCTCGTCATCGGCCTCGCCACCGCTATCCTCGAACTCCTCGTCGTCGTCCTCGTCGCTCTCCTCGCAGGCGGCCTTCGACGTGACCTCCTCTACCTCAGATCTACTCATTCTGGCCGAAGTGGCCGCCAACCGCACTGAGCTGACCAAGTCCAACTAGCGCCAGCAGCACCACTGGCTGTCCAGCATTACCACCAAATAGTTAGCCCAAATTCAAATTCACCGCAAACTGCAAGATTTTCGTAATGTGATAAGGATATATTTACTACAAATTTACTTTCTTTCAATTTTGTCGAAATAATCCAAATATTCTCTTTCTGTTTTTTCAACCCCAAAAAATGGCATAACAGCTTTTAAGAAATCATATCAGTTTCTATAGCAGGGTAGAGGGAATGCCACGTTGTGTTTAATTTAAACATTAAACTCTATTTAATGTCATTGAAATGTTAAAAATAATTTATGTTTTAGCCTCCTTAAAATGCATTATTATATAATTTTGAAAGAGTCATCACTTTAAGAAATTAACGAGAGAATATTCCCTTACAAAAGAGAAAATGTCAATTGAAAACTTGAAAATTATAATTTAAACGCCAAGCTATTGTCATTATGGTGGTCTTGCAGTTAAGATAAGCACCCTTCTTCGATTCTTACAAATGCTTTAAGCTATTTGCTGGTGGTGCCACATGGAGATGAAAAAAACAGACATTCGTTGATCTACAATTTAGTCAATAATATTATGTAAAAACAAGAAAGCGAGCCAGCAGAAGGGAAGATGAGAAGAGAGTCGGGACGGCAGCGAATTATGTATTTTTTGTTATAATGACGGCAGGAGAAAATCCGCGTCAGTTTCACACCCATATATATCTATATATTTTGTATTTAGATAACTTGTTCTGTTTTTTTTCTTGTTAAGTTTCTCCTTTTATCGAGCCGCGTTCGATAAGCAGCAAAATTAGCAAAACCAACAGCCGAACGCTCATTAAATGTTAATTATTATTATTTCTAATATATAGTCGTAATTTATTGCTACATTTGTCAAAACGCAAACAATTTGCAAACAAAAATATATTCATTTTAAAGTGGAAACATGGAGATTTTTATTTAAATGCGTGGCTAAATATATGGTCAACATTGTATTAAATGAAAAAAAGGATACTGTTCCTTGAAACACTTTAAAATTTTAAAATCTATGATAAATTTAAATTTTCACTTAAAGCACAGTCAGCACTTATTTTTCAGTGCTTCATAAATAGAAGTGGGGTTTTGAATTTAAATTTGCGAGCGTTACAATTGGTATCGATAAATATCAATTAACAGCTTTGTGCTCAAATCAACCCTGTTTGCCTGGCCAGTGCTGCTAAGTGCCAGTAAAACTTGATTTTTAGCCGGTTGAAAAAAACTGAGTGGGCGGCGAAAGGAGAGAGAGCAAGCGGTTAAGAGAGAGAGGGGCGGAGAGTGGGGGTCCGCTGATAAGATAAGAAAGATTCCTTGACCAACCGTCAGGGGCGTAGATAAGCTACTCGATTTTAATTGGGCAAAAAAAAAGGGGACAAGATGGCGGTTAATTTTCGATTCCATCGCTTTTTTTCTGCTCACGTGCAGGCAAAACAGCTGCTGGGGGTGCCGCGCCACACCTCCTCTCCATTTCCCGTACTCTCCACTAGCCTTACTTACGCTCACCTTTCTCCGTACTCCCGAATCGTTTTGACCATTTCTCGGAAGCTTTTTTGGACGAGCTTTCGCCGTGTTGGCCTTAATTTCGCTTCGTTTGTTTCAGTTTCAGTTTGTTCGCGAATTCAGACCCTTGCAGTTGTTTTCTCCCTCTCGCGCGTGCTCACGTCTCTCCCGCGCAGCAGCAACAAAATACCTAAAACCCTCGAGCAGAAAGAACATAAGCCCAAAAGTTATTAAATTTGTACTTGTGACATTTGTGAGGTGAGAGAAAGAAAAGTTCCCAGGCGGCTGGGCAATGTTTGTCAAATACCCAGGAGTTTTTCCCGGAAAATTCTTTGGCGATAGTACAAAATTTTCACCGAAGGAAATCACCATTTTCGGCATTACTTGTTTATTTGTTTACCCTGCTTTTGTTTTATGGTTTGTTTCTAGTCCCAATAGCTTGTTTAAAAACGGCAGCGAGAAAAAGGGAAATTAAATGAGAAAAAGCGAAGAGAAACCGCAAAGCGGAAAATAAAAAAATATGGTAGGAAAGGTGGGAGAAATTTAGCAGTGTACGTGTGTGTGCGTTGTGTCATATCATAAAAGGATCCCAACAGAGAGAGCGAATGAGAAGCAGGCAGTGTTATATAATAGGTAAATTCGCCGCATAGCAACAAAAAAAAATGAAAAAGTAAAAAACAATTTTGATGAATTCGCAATTTAAGTTTGCTAGCTTTCCGTCTCCCTCTAACCAAGGCAAGACAGGGATTGAGATTTAACCATAATGAAGTGTAATGGAATCTGTGCAATGAAACCCGCCAAGTTTTTTTTGTCGATTTGATTGCAGCTTCTCGTCTGGCGATTATTTAGCGGACTGCTAATTAATAAAAAATAGAACGACAGTATGAGCGAAATAAGAGGAAAATAGAGAAGGAAAATTGGGGGAATCAGAAGGGGGCCGCAATTAACACCAATTAGTGTGTGTTTGCGGCGCATTTCAATTAAATCAAAACAAATGCTGAATCAAAATCAAAGGGGCTCGCATGCCTGTGACGTCACACAGTCACAGTTCCAGTTACATTTACATCTACAGTTACATAAACACGAGTGTTGCGGCGAACAGGACTTTCTCTTCATCGTGTCCTGCTTCGTTTCGCTTCGTTAAATTCGCCGAACTTCGCCGCTAAATTCGCATCTCATTCAGGCGTCTTCGACATTTGCTTTCGTGCTTTTGCGGCGTATACAACGCTGAGAGCGTAATAGAATAAATAATAAAAAAGAAATCAAAACGACAAACAAAAGCAAAAGACAGATCTCAGGCAAGAAATTGAATTTTTTTTAATTGAACATTTCGGAGGTGTACTCGCGTACGTGTGTTTGTGTGTTGTGCTGTTTTTTCGGCTTCTCCCGTTCTTCTCTCCGCCTCACGTTTTTCGCAGTTGTTGTATAACATTTAGAGCGAGCGAGAGAAAAAGAGAACGACCCAAAACGAAAAGCTCTCTGTAAATCAAGCACAATCAGCTGTGATCAGTGGCGTTTGCAGGGGTCTAAAGAGGCTAAAGAACCCCCTTCGGGAAATTACTTAATTTTCGTGTTAGAAAAGTGTAGGAATTTAATAATTTCAGTGACAAATTTATTGATTGACACATTAAAAACATTTTAAAACAAAAATGTGCTTGTATTCTCTACGTCTTGTCACTTTTTGAACATATAATTATAATAAACGTCAATTAACATTCTTATTAACGTTGTACTTATTTGTTTTTTATTATAATTGAACCTGCTTTCACTGTGATTTTTCTTAGAGAGGTTTGAAAGCCCCCCCTTCAATACAAGCCCACAAACGCCACTGCCGTGCCTCAGATTCGTAGTGATTTGTTGAGATTTTATTAAATTTATCTCTGATTTTGCCTTGTTTTTTTTTTTTGCAGCAACATCCGAAATCGGAGTTCGTATTAATATATCCTTTTCAAAGCGCGGAGAGCAGATAACCCAAATAAACCGCAGAATTCCTTGTAATGGCTCTACTCCGTTCGCTGAGCGCCCAACGAACAGCCATCAGTTTGGTCTACGGCCGTAATAGCAGCAAGTCGAGCAGTTCCGTGGCCGTCGCCGCCTGTCGGAGCTTCCATCAGCGTGACAGGAGGAGGAGCACCGTCCTAACCACCGGAGAAGGAGCAGCATCGGAGTTCACAAACGGTGTCAATGGGGTCCGCTACCTGCACTCCGGCGAGCGGCCGATGCAGGCCTCCACATTGGTTCAACCGGATCTGGTTGCCGGCGGCGAGGCTGTGAAGCGATCGACGAAGCAGCAGTCGTCCTTGGAGAAGAGCCCCTCGCCCGCTGGCTCGCCGCAGAGGGATCCCCTGGACGTGACCTTCAATGATCCGATTGCCGCCTTCAAGAGCAAGACCACCGGCGAGCTGATGCGCGCCTATCTGGTCTATATGATCTGTTCCAGCGAGAAGCTGGTCGAGCACAACATGACGGTGAGTTCGCCGCCTTCCTCCTCGCTTCCTCCTTCTTTTGCGCCGTCCTGCGTCCTTTGACCCATCTTTTGGTCCAATCTATCGCCTAGCTGAGCTTGCTCTCTCTTTTTCTGGTTCCGTTTGCTGAGAATTGAGGGGAGGTCATGTAAGAGTTGGCTGCACCATTTAATTACAAGAATCTTCAGTGGAACCTTCTGCAGAATCACTTATCTTTAACCCAATAATAAAATCCATTATGTGAATATTAGGTTCCAGCTCCAGTGTAAATGAGATTGCTGATCGCCCAAAAACACTAAATATTGTTTAAATATTTTATAATAATTTTTAAAGAATTGGATTACTTTTTTTAAATAGTTCATTTTTTTGTTTCTTTAGCTAAGATCTTTAATAACTATAACACAGGCCAACAAAAGTTTTTTGCAGGTCCAACCGCATTGGATTATGATAAATTGGGATTTTTCAGTCTAAAGTAGCTTTGATCAGCTTTGAAATTTTTTCTAATAATTAATAATTAATTTATTTTATAGAAACATTGTATTCCTTTCCCAATCTAAATTTTGAGGGCCAGATATTCTCTACTTTACTTATTTATGCCATCTTAGATAGTTCTTCTTTTTGTTTAGGAACTTCCACCTGCTGCTTCCATTCACCTGAATCTAGGTTTCCTGGCACCCAAAAACCGTGTCAGGTGATTGGCCGTCTTCCTTCTGATTTTCCGCTTTCCTTCCGCTTTTAAATTCACTGACCCCCTGGGAGGTTTCCTTTTCCCCCACTACTCGTTTTGATGAATTCATGGCTAATTGCTTGTTGCATTTGTTGCCACTTTCTGGCAGGTGCTGCAGTCGCACAGAAAATATTGAATGAGTGCCTGATTGACGGCAGGAAAGAGGGGAAACCTTGCCATGCAAATTTTCAAAGGGGAGTGCGGGCAATAGTGACCTTGCCTTGTTCGTTGCTTGCTCTTAACTCGTGCGTATTTGCTCAGCGGCGCACATATGGATTATATAGGCATATAGTATAGGCCATTATATAGTCAGGCCCCCGAATGAGCGCCAATCAAAATCGGTAGAAAACCCCACTGCCGTTTCCCCCATTTTCCATAGCGTGTTTATATTTAATGGACACCGGCGTTGTTATCGCATGGCGGTCGTTTGATTGCTTATCGATTACTCAAAGTGCATGCGTCGCCAAGAATTTTATTTATTTATCTTTATTCTCCTCGGTGCAATTTTCATAAATGGTTGGCTAAATGCCTGGCGTACGGAATATTCTCTCAACTGTCAGGAGCTCGAGACATCACATGCGGCATTACTCAGGCATCGACTTTACCCCACGTCGCACCTATAGATTTTATACACTTCAAAAAATCATGAATAATATTATATGATATGTGATAAATGTTAAAGTTATAAAGATGGTTTTAATAAGTTCTGTATTTTGTAAAACTCAGACAGGCTAACAAGATTTCGATTTAGTCTAGATGGCACTTGAGTATAATTTATTAGGCTTTTTAAAGTATAGTTTCCCACTACGATTAACATAAGAAAAACCTACGTAAAACCATTTTTAAAAATCCAAAATGGCTTAGAAAAACATGATTTATGTATCAAATTATAGAAATACAACGTGTTCTTTGTCAATATATTTTTACAATTTACATTTTGAGTTTGTTCAATTTTAAACATCAGAAATTGATATTCATACATATTTTTTCGAAAATATTTTAGTAAATTCCCTTGATTTCAAATATAAATTTGAACTAATAATTTTCTTTAAAATATACCACACAAATATATCCTTTACCATAGCACGAAAATGTTTAAATAATTTTTTGTATGCATATTATAGAAAACTTGTTTTAACTAAACTTAGTCGATTTTTCATAAGAGTGTACTTAAATTTTTTGTTATTTCTATTTACTGTATCGCGTCGATTGCTTTT